GAAGCCCTTTTTTTTTTCAGTGTCAGCTGGCTCGCACTGGATTCCTTACAAACGGAGCCGTAGTTTATTTTACAGGATACCTCCCAGCCCACAACTTCCTCAGGTATCCGATGCAAGCCGAGAAGCGTGCCCAGATGACATCCTCCCGGGCTCAAGCCGATTCGTGGGCTGAAACCACAAATGTGATAAGTGCACTGAAAAGATTACTAATGAGGAAGCTGCTTAGAACAAGGCTGTAAGCGGTCGCATTGCGTTCATTTTAAAAAAGCTAACAAGACAAGGTTGCCACATCGAGATAAGTCTTCCGAAAACTAGTACTTGTCTGTTATTCAAGACCCGTGTTTTTATTGTTGTTGTTTGGCTGGTAGCCTGGATGGGGAGGGAAAGAGAATGGGAGACAGAGAAAAGCAAAACACGAACTTGGGAATCATTTCAAGGCCTGAGATGCGGACAGGTTTGCCGAGAGATATCTTGGAACTGTACAAGGTAAACATGGTCTAAATCACCTGCTTTGGGAAGATAAGTACTGCGAGTTCTCTAAGCTAAATGTACACTGCTGAAATTTGATTGAAAACTTTGCGATGTGAAGACTGAAAATCACAAGAAGGAAGCAGGCAGCGTTTAATCTCCTGTTGGATGACAATTCAAGATAGACTGATAGAGATACCTGCTGCCTGATAAACCAGTCAATATTGTAGATGGGAGATACTTGCAGGAAACAGACACTGCAAAGGGGGAAAAAATCCTCGGCATTTTTATATTTTCATCCTGTTCTCAGCTCCCTGCTAAGCAGGATGAGACTTGTATTTTCCTCTGTTAAGTTATCACACTTCAGACGCTGCAAGCACCTGAATTTCTTTTAAAGGGCATGTTGTGTAAGTTAGGAGTAACACATATACAAAATGTATGCACAAAATCCAGGGAATTCTAAGTGCCTGGAAACCACAGCATGACAGAAACCAAAGGTGACAGATCCTGCCACGATTCCTTTTTTTTTTTTTTTTTTTTTTCTTGTCTATTATGGAAGAATTATTTGCCCACTAACCAACTGCAAACTGAACGGTGGTGTTTCATATGAGCAGCAGGTCTTTCGAGTAAGCGTACCTGTCCATGAGACCAGAAAAAAAAAAAAAGCATGAAGTTTGAAAAAGCATGAAGAAATCACAGACAAGCAGAAAGCACTATTTACACTTTTCTTTGAAAGGACTTGGATAAGTCGGTGTATATGTATTCTCACCACAACACTTCAGTCTTTGTGTGCACCTATCCTTCGCGTTATGTTTATTACGAGAGCTAAGACAGCAGGCTTTCTAACAGCTCTCTGCTGCTGCTGTCTTACTATGATTTTCCTATCTTTTAATTAAAAGTATATTTCACAGCCAAGCCAAATGTTTTATAATAACAAGAAGGAAACGCAGAGAAACAGCAAGGAAAACTTTTGACCTGCTGTGGACTGAACATACTTCTTCTTGCCATGCAACGAGACTAAATCATCGCATGTGTTGCTGATGGACATTCATCATTATTTCTTCCCAAACTGAAGGCATATTTCATTTTCCTGAAGCCTGGATTTTCTCCAAGTTTTGCGGGAAAATGTTGCTGCCATTGGAGCTTGTTGCTGTATGTCACCACCTGCTGGCAAACATCAGTTGAGGGTTTCTGTCTTGATTGCGCAGCTGAAGCAGTGTAGACAAGGACTTTTATCTTCCTTGATAGAGACAGATAGGTGGCCACAAACAGAACATATGTTATTTAAACAGATTTTTGGTCTTGAATGCATATATTCAGACCAAGCCTGTTTGTATAACATGCAATCTGGATCCTGCAAACCATTACTCAGGCAACTAGTTCTTAATAAAGGAGAAAAGATGCAATTGCATATAAAAGGTTACCAATGTGGGAAAACATTCTTCGACTCCCCTGGTTCACAGACCTGAGTTTGCTAGAAAAATAAACAGAAGTTTAAAAATACATGATATAGGTTGCTTCGGTATTTAATTAAAATAATGTAGACTGAAAACTCACAATAATCTAGAGACAGTTTCAGATTTAAATTCCCTGACCTGCGCTATTTATTTCACAGCTTTAACAATGAGAGTTTGGGCTTTTCTCTTCTTTTTCTTTTTTTTTCTCCCAGATATTTTTAGAAATCAGCCTTTTGAATATGAAAGCATATTTTGAAGCAACTAATATTTATTCTATCCACCCTAATAGGTAAACGTGCATTGCAGTGTGGGCACTAATGCTGATAATTCATTTCATTTATCTGATAGATCAGGAGCCATTACGGCCTGTTGTGTAAATTCATATTTTGGCACTCTTTAAAAAGTGGATTATTATTGACCCAATAGACCGTAACAGCTCCAAAGAAGCCATTACTGTCTATTGTGTAAGTCCTTCATGGCGCATGTTTTATTGACCCTTTGGAGCCATCATGGTCTGTCTTGTCAATCCGGATGCCATGCAAGCGTATTAAGGCTGCCTGCGTAATATCCGTAGTCGCATTATTGATGCGTGCCCCTACGAAATTACATTTTGAGCCACGTCGGCCAGATGTTTTTTCCTCAGGTTCCAAAACACCTATTGTTCTCATTCGTATCCTGAACTAGAGACAAGGGCTACAAAAATTGCCTGAAGATAATGAAGCCATCACTCTTTTTTTCTGTTGTTTGTTTTTGGATTGTTTTGTTGTTGTTGTTGTTTGTTTTGTTTTGGTTTTTTTTAAAAATAGAGTGAAAATCAAGTTCCCCTTCACCAGGGAGAAAAGAAATGTCTGTGGGTGGTCAGACCACCACAGCGCTTCTCCATGACTCCCTCTCCTCTCCCAGCTGCACACATATAGGACAGTGCTGTATAAAGGAAATATCCTCTCCTCCCTTCCTAGTCCACAAAAGCTGGCTTGCTGGGCAGCAGGGTGGCCGCTTTGCCCGTGCAGGGGGACGGCTGAGCGGGGTGTGCCTTCTGCAATAAGATGACCAGCCTGCACGAGGAGCAAGCAGGCTTTCACACAACGCTCGGCGAAAGGGCTCATGCGCGCTGTGTGTGCTGAGGTGCCTGGATTTGAGGGCTTTAATGAGAAACAGAAGGGAAAAAAACGAGGCCCCAGTGGAAAGCCTGTCCTGAGGGAGTGCCTACCGCTGCTTCCAGGCTGGATGTGTTCTCCTGGCCAAGCCTGCAAACCAAACTCCTGCAAATCCTTCCTGTCTGTCTAACCCCTCCGTGGGGGAGCAGTGAAGTCCACCCTGAGCATCGCGCTGCCCGGCACGCATCCGTCGAGGCAAACGAGGCTCATTGTCGGGAGCTCACTACTGGCAGACCGCCTCACTGCTTTTCCTCAGTGGGTCCCAAACAAAAAACACACAGAAACCACATAACCTGAGTTGCCTCCAAAGCAAAGTCTTCCTGAGGCCAGATCGAATTCAGCTGAACAGCCAGTGGGGCTAAGTTCAACCTGCAGCTGCCTAAATGCTTGAATTATTCCTATGCCTGGCATAATAAAGATCTAGTGTTGGCAGTGGTTGCTCGTCTTATACATTCATAAATATTTATCCAAATATTAATGAGCAGAAAAACAATTTATTTCTTTTTTTCCTAATTGTAACATCAATTCTAATATGTTTTGTTACTTAGTCACCTCACAAGTAAATTGATTTTCTTATCCACCAGTAGGTATTTAAATGTTTTACAAGTGCATGCCAGGATCCTGAAATGAGAACTGTGTTTGGAACTCATGTCAGGGCTGGTACTTTTAGATTTATTTGGGTTTTTTTTTGCTAACACAGTAGGAGTTATGTAATAAAAATTCAGTATAAAGGATGGGTAGTGGCTTCATGCGATGTACATCTCTGAAGGCTTCTTCAGACAGTACACAAATACAATCTACACGTGCAAAATGCATGGTGTACTGCAAAAGAGCATTCACTCCTACTGTTCCTCTATGCACATTTATTTTCTCCTTTCACACACACACCACTCCTGTGCATAATATTGGCATAATTTATGATTTCCTGTTGCAAGTGTGGGTATCTAGTTTCCAAGACGGCATCTGAGAACTCTTCTGAAATTCAGTTTCCCATTCAGCAGCCTGCTAAAGCACACGGCTGGTTTAATGCGCAGGGAGAGTCCCAGCAAAATCAGCTACCTGCTTAGCCACCTTGCTAAACTGAGGCCTTGATTTTGATAGATCTCAACAACTTTTCATCACCCACCTAGATAATGAAAGATGCAGGTAATCTGACCTTGCATAGTAACTGAAAACTTTCTCAGCTATATTACTTGTGACAGCTGAATATTTCCTCGGAGGGGAAGATGAAGCCTTTGGTCTATGCAATTCACTAAAAGAACATTTTATTAGTCCTGCATTTCCTTGTGTGTGGCTGGAAATTTTATCGGGTGCTCACCGACACCCTGCTGTGCCTTAATGCCAGAGGACCACAGCAAATAACCTCTGGTGCTGGTAAGAATTAGGCATGAGATCCCCCCTCTTCCTGTGTAGGTACCTGTAAGCTCAGTAGGTGGTATGTACGGGAGATGGAGCTTCGCTGACATTAGTGGAATTACATCAGTAATCCAGGAGGCTCATCTATTTCAGGCAGTCCAGAAATGTCTCTCAGTGCCCTCCCCACCCCCCCACCCCCCCCAAATGAGGAGGAAAGTGGGAGTTTTTTGCTTATCTTTTGTATGGACATACTTTGTTCAACCTGTTTGCCTTTTATCCTGGTAGTGGTTTATCTGCCATTATTCCAACAAAGAGAATAAAAAGGTTTTCTGATTTAGTAAAAATATGCAAAATCCTTTTGCCTTTTCCCTAATAAGCATAAAAATAATTTAGGTAGACCTGATATCGATGAAGTTCATACACAGGATACAGTGTTTACCAAATAAACACATTTATTTTATAAATGGTAGATCTACTTCTTTTCTAATTCACTTATTTTTAGAGCTAGGAATTGATTTGTTCAGAGGTAAGAACAGCAGCTTCACCACCAGCTTCAGGGGACTTACATGCTCACAGTCAGGATTTTTGTATTTGTATCATAGTGTTCCACTTCTGTTCACAAAACCATGGACAAGCAAGCCTTTGCCTGGCTCTCCTCAGGCACACAGCTGATAGGCTGCCTGGAACAACAGGGCCACTGAGAAAAAAATACAACCAAAATTTTCAGCATCATGATCACCTCACTCATAAACTCCTGACAGACTGAACACACCAGAGCTGGAATTACTGGAAAGATGATGATTTACCTTCAGACTTCTCAACTGCAGCCGACTCTGAATCCTGCCACAAAAAGCAAACAAAAAACAAAAAAATATTTGATGACTTTGTTTTTTTCTAAGACAACCAACATCATTTATGACCCATTATGTAATGACACGAGCATTATACATTGAAAAGCTGTCTTGAAAGACATTGTAAATAAACATTTCTGGTTTGCAAACAGGAAGCCAGAGATATTACTGTGGAAGCTGAGAGGATGGGGTTAGATTCCTGAAATGTGAGTGATTTGTTTTTTCCTTCCATCTCTCTCTCCCAAACTCATGGTGCAGTCATACTGTTATTAGCTAATGCATGTCGTTTTCTCTCCACCCTTATAGCTAAAATATAACTTAAAAAAAAAAAAGAGTATCAATAGAAAGACAGACTAGATATATACAAGATGAGAAGGAAAAGTGGCAAAAGAATAAAACAAGAGGTATAAAGTATTTGGAGCTACAGGGACTCAAAGCAAGTGCTGGAAGAGTCTAACTTCCAACAGTGGCCCATTGCAGTGACTTCACCAGAAGGCATAAAATCACCATAATATAATATTTATTATATTTATTAATATTTCTTATGTAATTTATTCCTATATTAATATAAATATATTTATTATATTATAATAAATATTCCCACAGGGAAGTATCTTCAAATTCCACATACTGCATATTCAGGTATGTTCTGTACCGTGTAGAGGGAAGTTTTTCACGTATGTGTAGTCATCCTGGCAATCAGAAATGTACAAAGAGAGGTAATCATTTATATTAGCCTATTTCCACAAAAAAAAACGGAGTTTGGGGCTCAAAATTCTTCAACAGGACTGAGGCGAGCAACAGACTGCAAGTTAGGCTTTGCTGCTTCCTTTTCGGACCTGAAGAAGTGCCTGTACACTCAAAACCCTGCCTGGGTTTTGAGCTATGTTTCTCAGTCCAGTGACTATCTCTCCACAAACCCTGCTCGGCTCCTACCCTTCAGCCATTACAACTACCACAGCACTGCTAACTACCTGCCCTTGGCTGGAGGGAAGCAAATTCCTGACAGCAGTTGGTTTTAACTGTCCGAATTGCACTCTGCTCACCGCAGCCCGCGCAGGGGGCCACGTTGCTGACTCCGGCACAGCCCTTCCACCAGAGCAGGATCAGACCCTTTCTCCTTTTGACATATTTCAAAACATCCCCTTTTTTCTATGCTAACTGCTCTCATAACAGTTGCTCAGTCCAGGCATCAAATAAACACTGGCTTTTATATCCTGGCACTAGTGTTATTGTGAAGGAAGTGTTCAGTCAAACAATACTGCTGAACAAAATCTTTCCTCCTACTGATGTCATGTGGCAATTTTTTTTTTTTTTGCTTTAACCTGAATTTCTAACCCATTTTAAACCTGCCATTTTTTCACACATTAATGGGAAGATTTTTTTTTTTTTTTTTTTTACTCCTTTCTCTGCTTTTTTCCCCCCCTTCAGTAGATGAACTTTAAATGCAATAGTGTGCTCATCCTGAGTGACCCTGCCTGCTGGGAGTAATTGTCTAGAGGAGAATAGAAGAATCTAAGAGCTTTTGTGCAAGGGAATAGAGAAGACAGACTTTATTATGGTTCTGAATCGTAAGCGCGCGCTCTTTTTTTTTTTTTCTTTCTCTCTCTCCCTTTCTTTTTTTTTTTTTTTTCGGGTTCTAACAGCTGTTTCCCATCACAACCGGTGTTTGAAAGACACAGCAAAATTGAGTGTATCAGTATCACAATTAGTTTCACAGGCGGCTAATAACTTACTTGCCAGCCATGCCTGATTTAATCAGGACAGTCCTGATTTATGGTTGTTTGTCCCAGTGTCCGATTTTCTCTGCCAGCTCCATCACAAGGAGATGCATGCAGCCTGCTTCTGCACTCCGTCAGGGCCACCAGTTCACTACGGTGGGCTCGCTACAGCAGAGGGGAAAAAGGAGGAGACAGCTTAAATGAGAAGTCTGGAGTCCTCTAACACAACTCAGGAAACATATTCTTCTTACTGTGATAAACAGAGCGGCTCACACTGATGCAGGCGTGCCAGGCTTGACTTGTAGGGCCTTATACATTTATCAAGGTATCTCACAGTGGCCTGCTACCCCCCTCCTCCCTTGTGACCTGGAGGAACCTCCTGGGTTAGGGTCAAGAGGTGATTTTAGCAGCACATTATCTCAAGCCTGCAAGGCCCTGAGCTGCTGCGAGTGAGTCTTCTGTCAATGGTGCCAAATTACGCGTGGCTCATTTTTGCAAAGTGATCTACTGCTGCTGCTCATTGGGGACAGAGCTGAGACCATCCAACTCATTTTTCTTAAGACTGCAAGCTGGTCTGGAGGAAGTCCCAGCAGTGAGAGCCCGGCTCATGCCTCTCTCACTCAGCAACTCTACTCCTTGGAGTTGAAAAAATGTTCATGAGAAGTTATTTAATGGACCAGTTGTAGCACTTAAAAGATGAGATCCGAGATAGTCTTGCCTATGTGTGCAAAAGGGCAGGAAAAAGAAAAGGAGAAAACAGGTTTGTAGGAGACATTTGGCTAGACCGGCTATACCACCATTCCTCCTACTTGAGGGAAATAGGCAGATCTTTTCCTTGAAGAACACAGAAAAGTAAGCAAAGCTGTGTTATAAACAGGCATCTTAATTAACACTTGCACGACCCTCCCGGGTGGGTTTCCCCACAGCCGCCTGCGGATCGCTCCAGCGCTCTCCGCCACATCTCCCTGCTGGGGTGGCTGCAAGACCAGCGCAGTGACGAGGCCACTGCTGAGCCAGGCCCACTGCCTATTCCCATCTCACTTTTACCTTGGGCTCCGCAAGGTAAGGCAAAGGAAAAGGTCTGTCTGTATTCACTGTTTCTCCCTCATCTTTTGGTTCAGTTTGGTTTTGCCTGCATCTCTGAAGCGGAGAGGGGGTCGAGGCCCAAATCCATGGCTGCGTTTCTAGGTGCCACTACAGCAACCATAGCCCTCAGGGGCGTCTAATTAGTAGAGCTGCAGCACGTTCATGTCAGAGGGAGCTTGTGCATCGTGATTAAGAGGGTTTTCAACCTGGGAACAGAGGTTTTCTGCTTTAGTTTGAAAGGTTGTCGTGGAAAATCCCTTGTGTCACCTGTTTTTAAAGATGTGCATTACACTCCTATAGTTAGCTCTGAAATGTGAAAGACAAGATGGGCCTTGTCATCGCCGCCTTAAGTCAGGGATTCAGAAATCTCAGGCCCCCGGTTTGAAAGGGCAGATGCAAGCAGACACTTTGCACCTTCCTTATATGCGCTGGGGGATCACGCTGCAAGAGCATTGCTTAGGGCTGCCACACAGATTTGGTCCTTGCCCTGAGGAGCTTACAGTTTGGGTAGAAAGGCAACAAACTCCCTGGGAGACTTGGAAGGTGGTGGGATGGTTTTTTTTCATATTTTCCTCTTTTCTTACCTTATATATCGTGTTTGGTAATGCATGACAGAGAACACACAATTATATGAAGCATAACACTAACCAAACTCCAAGAGAGGGTACTGACTAATTCCCTGGATGACAAAACATGAGCGGAGGCCACAGCCCATGTTTTTCTCCAGTTGGAATAGTCAAATCTACATTTTCAAGCCCCCATCTTCCTAAGGAGCAAGAATGGGAGCATCTCAGTTGCTTATTTCACTTAAATAGATTCAAAACACAAATTTGCATTCAGCTTTTCCAGCAGAATTAAAGACGTCTTGCACACTACCTTTTAGAGGAGGTGTTGACACTGCTTCAGCTGGAGTATCTTCCTCCGCCTCTCAGGCTCCCCATCGTTTCCCCAGGTTTCTGGCTGGCCCCCCCTTCAGTATGGAGACATGCTGACTTGCCCTACAGCAGGGTCCAGCCTGTCTCTGTGGTCCCTAATGGGGGACTTGAGCTTTTCCCAGAGGCCTTTGGAGGGGCCTCACACTCTTCTTTGTTTCAAGCTAGAGGGGACTGAGGCAGTTTCAAAACCTTAACTGAGGCAGCAGCCTCATTTTTAGGATTTACAAGACCTAGCCTAGGTCCTAAAGCAGAACCTGGGTCTAAACGTGTCCATAAAAGCAGGTTTCCAAGCACATGGATTTGAGTGGTAACATCCCCATCTTCTTTCAGGAGGACACGTCATCGTTTTCTCATCAAAGACGGCAGAAAGTGGGACTGGAGCTGCAGTGACTCTAGTAAGAAATCTGCACTTGGCATTACTTCTTGCAGTTCTCTTTTCTTCTTCTGTTTACACAAAAGACAGACCAGTTCAATGGTATCAGCACAACCCAACCATGATACTCACTGAGCAGTTAACACACACGAACATACAAAGAGAAAAAGAAAAAGTGACAGTCTATCCATCTCACTTGGCATGTTTATATGTCCTTCTTAACCATAAAAAAGAAGCCTGTTTACAAAGCGGAGTGTCGGTAACATTGTGTAAAGGAACACTTATCTGAGAAACTTTGATCTCTTTGCTGAAGCACCATTACTTTGAGACTGAAGGGCTAATGGCTCTTTGGGTGGGAGTGAAAGTTTTTCAACAGGAAAAGAAGGAAGTTTATTGTGCTATCTAGTGGACACATTTAGAAAATCCTGCTCCTCGGAAATACGTCGTGGCTGTGTCACCGGCAGCTTTATCCCGCATCGCACAGGCTGCTGAACGGAGGGAGGGGGTGGAAATAACAAGACATTGAGGCCTCCTGTAATGGGATAGTGGGGAAGTTGTTACTCTAGGGCAGGCCTGTTATCTCACTCATTTAAGTAATGGACATATTAATGGGGCTGAGAGCTAAACCAGACACATAGCCTGCCTATCGGAGCTAACGTTTTCCATTTACAGACTCCGGGCTGCATTTTACAATACTGATTCATGTATCTAGGTCCTACTTGAGTGAGTAATTGTACTGGCTTCGAAAGCACAAGCAGAATATTGGCCTCCACAACAGGAGTTAAAAACCACTGCCAGAAAACTGATGGGATCAGACCCTAAAACATCTAGTGATGAGTTATCATTAAAAATAAAAATATGAATGATTGGGGTTTTTTTTAAAAAGGACTGTGAATTTCTGGGATCCAAAAAGTGGGCTGAAAAGCACACACAAGACTCAGGTAGATTCGGTTTCACATAGGTCAGAAATTCCACAGAGCAAAAGCATTTACTCCACTGCCTTTGTAAAAACAGCACAAAACCGTGCCTGATCCGGCTTTAATTCCCAATTTCAAGTTTGCCAGATCTCCCTAAAATGCTGAGGTTCACTTGGTGCTTCACTGCAGTCAAAGAACCGGGTATCATCTCCAATCCTTCCTGCAAACATACTTCTCTAAAATGTTTGTTAAAATGTGCTGTCAAATTGAAACTTAATAGCACAGACCTTCCTCACAAACATAAACAGCACCTCCGGAGGCTCACACATCACTGCTCTTCGCTTGCATCTGTCCTGCCGCTCTCCATTTTATTTCTCCGTGCTGCCGCTTGCACTTTTCAACTTCTTGTATCTGTCTCCGAGTCCTTCATTCAAAGGCCACCGAGATCCTTGGGAGCCCGCCCAACGCCTGCCGCCGGCTTCGGGCCCCGCCGCAGCAGCTCTGCCCTGCGAGCCCTGATCGCTTCCTTCGAGGCGCTGAGCAACCCCATTAACTGATCCCGTTAAAAATATTCCTTCGCTAGCTAGCCAGCCTTTGAACAGTCACGTCTATTGTGCAAACGTGTATTTCTCTTACAAACATTCCTGGGGAGACAATATAGAGATAGGCTGGAGCTGCCTTTTGCAAGTTGCGTGGCCTGTTGAAACAATTGGCTTGAAAGACAGACTTTAAAAGATGAGGGGTTTGTGCCCGCGAAAGAAAAGCAGCAGCTTCAAAAGAGTGTGATTTATACGAAAGGGAGAAAAAAAAAATAAAAGGAAGCAGAATAGTTAGGCTCATTGAGTTTCCATCCTGTAGTTTCCTTATTTTGCTAGGCAGTGAAAGACCGCGGCCAGGCTCTATAGAGAGTGCACATTTGAACCCAGAGTTACTAATGACTGACACAGCAGTCACGAAAGTTCAATTTATGTCTTTCTTCTTCCAAAAAACCAAGGCGTTCGTAAGCCACTGTATTTTTTGGCGGGAGACAAATAAGGCAACTGTTATTGCAGGGCATTTAAAACAGATAATACCCCGTTTGGAAACCAAGATGAAGTACCCTTCTATCTGGCATAGCCTTGAAACATTTACAGAAAGACTTTTAATGGAGATTTAGTGCATGTATAATAATAACACGGAATTTGATACCCTCTAGGAAAAAACTGCCCGGTGCTCCCTTAACAACCACAATTACCACACGACTTGTTATACCTAAAGCTAATAAACTGGAATTAAGGTTATGAATAAACTTTATTAACCAGCAGGAGCCCGTGTCTTCTCCCCTCCTTGTGACTGTCCCACAAGCAGCGAAGCCCCTACGTTTATCCTTTGGTTTACCTTTCCTGGGGCACGCAGCCAGCCCTGAAAGCTCTGACAGTGACTGAGAGATACGGGGACCGAGCCAAAAAAACATGAGATAAAAGACAAAGTAAGGTAAAGTAAAAGAAAGTAAAATAAAATAAAAGAAAGTAAAATAAAATAAAGAAAGTAAAATAAAATAAAGTAAAATAAAATAAAGAAAGTAAAATAAAAGAAAGTGAAATAAAAGAAAGTAAAATAAAACAAAACAAAATAAAGTAAAATAAAATAAATCAAACCAAAATAAAATAAAATAATATAAAGTAAAATAAAATAAAGTGAAATAAAATAAAATAAGGTAAAATAAAATAAAGTAAAATAAATTAAAACAAAATAAAATAAAATGAAACCAAAACACAATAAAGCAAAATAAAACAAAACAAAATAAAATAAACCAAGATAAAATAAACCAAAACAAAAGGAAACAAACCAAAATGGAATAAACCAAAATAAAGCAACACAAACCGAAACACAATAAAATAAAACAAAACAGAGGGTTTCCCCCGCCGCCCGTGCTCTCCAGCATTACCCCACCGCCCCCTGAAGAAAGCGGGAGGTGGGGGGGGGGGGGGAGCCGCGCGCAGCCGAGCGGCGCGAGCGACACCGTGTGGCCGCCGGCGGGAGCGCCCCCGCCCCCGCCCCCCCCCCCCCCCCGGCCCGTTCCCGCGGGGCCCCGGTGGCGGCGGCCCGGGGCGGGCGGGTCCCGCCGCCTCTCGGCCTCCCCCCTCAGGGCGCTGCCGCGGCCCGGGGCCGCCCCGCTGCCCGGGGCCGGGAGGCCGCCGCTGCCCTGCGGCAGCCGGGGCTGCGGGTTAGGCGCCTGCTGGGGAGCGAACGCGCGTAAAAACCAACTTTCGGCGCGGGCCGGGGGAAAGGCGTCCGCCGTTACGGTGCGTTGCAGGCAGCTGCGGGCAGGGCAGCCGGCAGGGCGGTTTGCAGGAAGGCGGAGGCTCTTCCCTTTGGCGGCCGGGCGGCGCGGTGGGCAGGCGGGGAGGGGGGAGGAAGCCCCCCTGCCTCGCCCCCCGCCCCCCCCAGCAGCCGGGTTTGGAAGCCAGCCGCGCCGGGGAGCGGGGGGGGGGGAGGCCAGGGCAGCCCCCGGGCCGGGCGTCCTCACGGGGAGATGGCTTTATTTAGACGGAGTAGGTGATGAAGAGATATCATTTGTTGGGCCAACAGAATTACAATGCGTGTGGTTTGGGCCTCTGCAAGCCTGTCCTCAATTATTTCTGTTTGTTTTGGTGCTTCCCCAAATGCTCTCTTCTTTCAGATAGAGTGTCTTCACTCATGTTTTTGTTCGTTCAGGAACAGGCACGAGAATCCAACACCCGGGCCTCGCCTGACAGCCCGTCCCTGTGCCAAAAAAGGCCAAAACAGTTGTAATTGCTGTCAAAAATGAGCTTTCAACAGGCCCCTGCCAGCTGAGATGGCAAGGAAAACACCCACCCTTCCCTTCCTTGCCCCCCAAAATGCCCGTAAACTTTGACCAGCCGGCAGAGAAAGGCCAGTGGAAAGGACGGGCTGCGGGGTCACGACCTCTGCTAATGGGCCTCCTGCTCACGAAGCTGCTCAGTACTACCACCCGCTCCCCCCTCAGAGAAATTAAATAAGAAAAGCCAAAATATTAAAAAGCTGTGTAACGTACCTGCCCTCACAAGTAGAAAAGGGGGCTAGATGCTTTGTGCTCTTCGGGCTGTATTAAATTTGAAGCGTATAAACATTTTGCCTGTAATGGTGCGTCTCCCATTAGCTTACACCACAGGAACATTTCGGGTTCCTGAACATAGATTTCAAGCACTACTTTAGATGCTGTGGGATTTCCAAAATAGCTGCATAACCTGAAAGAGATGACATATGATCTGCAGAAGACCCACATCCTTCCAGAGAAGTGGCTGATTGCCAGGTGGAATAGTCAAGAACATCTAAAATGGCCCTAGAAACGGATGTTTAGGCAACTTTATTTCACCCACATACCAAATTTTTTTGCCTCGTCCTTCTGTTAGGTACAGATACTCAAGAAGTCTGGGGCCTTTTAAACATCCTCAGGACACAGGAAGGTCACCATGAATCAGGTGGTATTTGAATTAGGACAAGTGCAGGCGAGGGAGTCACTAGAGTTACAGCGGTGGTTGGTGCCCCTCTGTGCTCATGCTCCAAGACTTTACCACAGATTTCGCCTGCAGCGGGAAAGTCTTCACCCGGGTTTATAACCCGTTGCCGTTAGCCCTGAACTGACCTTCTCAGTTTGGTGGGAGGAGCATGTCCAGTCCCTAGACATCCAAACATCTCCAGCAGCGGACACCAGAAGATTGTCCACCTTCGG